TGCTCTTGATCCTAACATGGACATCGGTTTGTGGGTGATATGCCATACTCCTTTTCAATTTAATACCCTACATATGGAATAACTTTGTCCAAAATCTGCTTGTGAAGATGCAAGTAGAATTTGTCACAAGCATAATGCATCCCTTATAGTGTAATTCTTTTGAGTTCCAATTGTAATGAGCCACATGTTAGGATCGGAGCGGCACTAAGAGGGGGGGGTGAATTAGTGCAGCGGTAAAGTACGATAAACTTTTGACGATTTAAACACTTTCGGAAACTTCGTACAATAAAAGCAACGTTTCGTTTAAAACCGTTTCGATTGCATTTTAACTTGAAGGGATATGTAAGAAGGAGACAAAGAAGTAGAGCATCAAAGTGAAGATGGTTTGCAGTAATATAAATGACAATAAGATAAACGCAAACCGATTTATAGTGGTTCGGTCATGCGACCTACATCCACTTGCGAAGCCTTCTTCGATGAGGCTCCCAACTTCCATTAGCAAATCACTTTGAAGGGGAAGGACAAATACCCCTCTTACAACCTTTTACAAGTGGTTCACTCTCTTACAAATTTTCAAAGAGAAAGAAGGAGGTGAACACTCAAGCAATTGAAAACAAAAACTTGCTAAAGACTTTGCTAAGACTTTTATCTCAATCTCTTGCTTCTCAAAGGTTGTATTCTCTGCTGAGAATTGAGGGGTATTTATAGGCCCCAAGAGGATTCAAATTTGGGCTCCAAATTTTGAATTCTCTTGGGTTCCCGAGGCTGGCGGTGCCACCGCTTGGTTCTTGGGTTCTAGGCGGTGCCACCGCCTAATCTAGTGGTGCCACCGCCTACACTATTTCAGCTCACTGGTTGAGCTCCAAACTTGGCCCAAACCAGTCCGAACTCGGGCCCAATTGGCCCCTACTTAAGTTATAGGATTAAAACCTAATCCTAACCCTAATTAACATACTAACTACGAATTTAAAGATATTTTCTAAGCTATTACAAAGTCCGCAAGTCAAGACTTTTTCCGGCGAGCTCCAATGAGCTTCTTCGGCAAGCTTCGATCTTTCTCGGCGAGCTCCGCGAACTTCCAACGAACCTTCCGGCGAGCTTCCAAAAAACCCTTCGGCAAGCTCCCTACTCATTCTCGGCTAGTTCCGGCAATATTCCCGATGAACCTTCGGACTTCCGTCGAACTCTCGAACTCGCAACAAATCCTTCGCGCTTGACTCCGACACTTTGTTTCGCTTGTCTTCATCGTTATCGTAGTTAATCCTGCACACACAAGTCAAAACTCTACTCCGATCTAGACAATTATTACAAAGCGAATTGACATTCTGTTGCCCGGCACGTCATTGGTTGGCGCTTCATCCGATTCTTCGGCGCATCGTCCCCTCTTGTGGCTTGTTGCCCAATTGGTGGTTGACCTTCGTAACCCCGATATCCTTGGCGCAATTCCACTCTTGGCCCGATGCCCGACCTCCGAAGCCTTCTGCCGTCCAATATCCTGACGTGATCTCCTCCAACGCAACGTCAATTCCTCTTGCATTAACTGTCTAATCCTAATCGAGTAGACCTACATCACTCAAAATGCAGTTAAACATCTAAACACAATCAATTAGTTTCATCATCAAAATCCGAGATTCAACAATTTTTAGAGCTCAAAAGTGTTGTAAAGGCTAGAAGTTCTCCTCCCTCTTTTCTTCCAAGTTTTGATCTTTCAAGAGATGAGAGAAATTCTGTAAGGGTTGTCTCCTAAGCCCGTCAAAAGGAGTGAAACTGTAAAAGGGTGGTTGGCCTTCGCCTATTGAAGGAAGGCCTCTAGTGGACGTCGGTGACCTCATCGGAGGAGGAAGCCAAAAGTGGATGTAGGTCAAGATTGACTGAACCACTCTAAATCTCAGTTTGCATTTACTTTATGTTCTCTATCTTAACTGCAAACTACCTCCATAGCTTTACTTTAACTGCAATTCGCCTAATCTAAGTTAAAGCAATTTTTGAATCAGCTTTTATACCGAAATCGCTTTTATCGTACGAACATCGTTTTAAATCTTCGAAAGTTTTCCGCTGCACTAATTCACCCCCTCCCCCCCCCCTCTTAGTGCTCTTGATCCTAACACATCACTCACGTGATTGGCTTGCAGGGCACCTATAACTAGTAGAGTAGTCTCTTGGTAGTCTAAGTTAGATAATTATATTACTATATCAACCATAGAAGCAAAATATATAGCAATTACTAAAGATTTCAAAGAAACTTTATGGATGAAAAAATTTCTATAAGAATTAGGTTTAAAATATGAAGGATTCATATTTAGTGTGACAATCAAAGTGTCATTTAGCTCTCGAAGAATTTAACATACATTTATATAAGATATCACTAGATTATAAAATAATTGTACTTAGAAAATGTGCATATTAATAAAATTGGATCAAACATGTTGATAAGGTCTTTGCCTAAGAAGAAACTTGAAGCATATAGGCGAATAGTGGGTTTAGTATAACCCATCATATAAGCTGGAGGGGGGAAATTATTGGGTCCAACCCATAGGTGGGCTTGGATTGAATGATTTAGGCATTGAGCCCAAATCTAATTTATTAAAAAATAAATGAGAGAAGTGGAGACATGCGTGGCATGAGGCATGCAAATGGTACTGTAGAAATAGTGGAGACATAGAAAAAGAACAGAGAGGAGAGAGAAAGTTAGGGTTTTAAAGCTTTTACTAGATGCTCAAGCGGTTAAACTTTATCGATTTTGATCCAAATTTTATGTGGAAAATCCTTGCAACAAGCTCTATAATCTTAACGATGTCAATCTATGATTTGTTCTCTCTAAAATACTTTTTTGATATACCTACTTGGTGAGACCTAAACTTTTCTTTTTATAAAATGATGATATATTATTATTGAATCAAAATCTATATTTTTGATGTTACTAAGATCCTTTAATTATTCTAAAGAAGATTTATTGTAAAACTATTATCATTATTCGTGATAGTAGAGGTTTGAAGTGGACTACAGTCCCATGATTTTTTTCGCATTGGGTCTTCCACATACAAATTTGGTATCTCATTTTATGATTGATTTATTGTTTTATTATTTTTACTACTTTGGGTAATATTTATTTCTTAGTAATAAGTTGATATTTTGATGAGAAACCCATTTTGATAAAAAAACAAACATTATTTCGCTATAATAATTTTTTCCAACACCTCGTTCATCTTTTTGAATGTTCACGTGGGACACAAAATCACATGCAAAATCACATCTGACTTGTGCTGATGGGAGGACCTGAAATTTTCCTTCTTACTCGCTATTTCTAATTCAAATGATTTCAGGAGTCTTTAGATATATAACACGTCTCATCGCAAGTATTGATTGATTGAATCCTCCAAACGAGCAAGGGCAATTGCTTCAGTTTTTGGCCTAAATGAATGCAGTTTTCAACTCTTGCAGTCTGAATAACAAGTCTAAAATAGTGTATCTTATTTCTGATACCTTGTTTAACATGAACACCATCAGTAACGAAGACCTGTTCCTATTTTATGTAGCAAAACAGAAGTTTCCTTCAACTATGATTTGTTCTTTTCGAGTTCATCATTCCTCCCTTCACAGTTCCAGCAGAAGTCAGATGTGATTTTGCGTCGCGTGTGAACCTCCAAAAAGATGGCACGAGGTCGAGACTTGGAATTCTATATTGCCCACCACATACAAAGATTTAGTCAAGTTTACATGTTTTCTTGTGATGATAAAGATGACCCAGTGAGCACGAATGAGCATTAAGTATTGTACACCTGTATGCAGCTACTAGTTCATTTTGTTATAGATCTATCTACCACAATTGAAACATTTATTCCCTAAGAATGATTGAATCTTTGTGGTCTAAAGTGATTTTTATTTGATTTTTTATTCTAATAAAACAATACTTTTCATCAAATTATATTCCTTATATTAAAGAAATTTCACGCACATGAGTTTTCTTTTGAAACATCAGATCCCATCCGGGAGAAGAGAAACCAGGAAAGAGCCATCTAATGGTTTGTCAACTCTTTATCTTTTGACCATTCAAAGAGCCGGTTGCTCATCATTGACATTTTCCCTCATCAATGCAGAAGACGATAAGCTCGACTCCGAACTCTTCACATTCTTTTTTTCTCAGTAGAGTAAACAACTTTAAGAGCAATAAACATAACAAGAGTGGTTGGGTGGAGTTATGAATGGATCAAAGAGGTGACACGGAAGAATAGCTTGTCAGGGCCCTCTACAACAACTCCACCACTGACCTCACAATAATATATAGCAACTCCTCTTGAGCAATTCAAAGAACATGAATTGTTCTTAGCTACTACGATGACCAAAGAGATGGTCAGAAGTCCAATTCCAATATTTTATTGAGAATGTATTACCAACAAGAGCTTCTTGCATGATGTTAAGAGACTTAAATGGATCACAAAATAGTTTGGCGTTCAAGACAACTCCAAGATCTCGGCAGGCTACTTGCCATTGCAAACTTCCATCTTCGTGATTGATTCTTCAACCTTCGACTCCAAGTTCTGGGTTGACTCTGCTGGCCTTCTGATATGGAAATTGGGCTCTCGACGTTGTTGGTGATACTTACAGGTCTCCTTCATCTTGGTTCCGGCGACACAGATCCTAATGATGGTGAGTTCTTAACCTGCTGCAGCGTCTGCTGTCGTATGATCTGAAATGGCTTTCTGGTTATTGTTGGACATGGACAAGAACTAAAGGTTCTCCTTGATGGTAAGAATTATTGATTGTCTTAATGTGCAGCTGCTGTTCTGCGATCTATGCTGAATCAATGGGAAAATGCTCCACCAACCTGGGGGCAGTCGGATGATCCCTGTGGCACGCCATGGGAAGGAGTTTCTTGCGACAGCACCAGGGTGACCGCGCTGTGAGTCTGCCACAAATCTCTCCTCGGTCTTTATTTCTTTTCGATCTGCTCAACTTTGATGCTCTTTGCAGGAGACTGTCGACGATGGGCATCAAAGGTACATTAAACGGCGACGTAGGCCAGCTCACCCAATTGCAGTCTCTGTAAGCTGTCTTCTCCTTCAGCACTCGGAATATTTCTATTCTTTGGATGCCATTCATCTCTGTGACTTTAAGACCTAACTCAAAATTCAACACAGTCTAATCTGACGAAAATTATGTGCAGGGACTTGTCATACAACGGAGGTCTCAGCGGTCCACTCTCTGCAAGTATCGGAAATCTGAAGCAGCTTACCACTTTGTGAGTACAACTCTGGATTGCATACTTGCAGGAAGCTAAGTTTCTATTGACTCGTTCATCCAATTGGCTGAAAGTTTTATGTTCTTCTTATCATCAGCATCTTGGCTGGCTGTAGCTTCAGTGGCAGCATCCCACAGGAATTAGGCAATCTGAAGCTGCTCTCCTTCTTGTAAGCGCTTTTGTTGATTGGTAGTGCAAAGTTCCATCATTGTTCTTCAGATCATAAACAGAGAGTCGATCGAAATTTCCAGGGCTCTGAATTCGAACAAGTTTAGCGGTCGGATTCCTGCTTCGTTGGGTCTCCTATCTAACCTGTATTGGCTAGACCTAGCAGACAACCAGTTGACTGGATCTCTCCCTATATCAACGAACTCCACTCCGGGTCTGGACCTTCTTGTCGGCACGAAGCACTTGTAAGAAACTCGCTTTAAGCGAACCAAAAGAGAGTCATCAATCACACTTCTTGCTATATGTCATACAAGTTACTTTCTTCATGATTGCAGCCATTTCAACAAGAACCAGTTATCAGGAGAAATTCCAGAACAACTATTCAGCTCCCAGATGACGCTAATACACATGTGAGTAGGTTTACACAGTTTCTGCACTTCCCTTCATATCTCCTTCATATGATTGAAATCATGTTATCTGTCAGACTCTTCGACTCGAATCAATTTACTGGTTCAATTCCAACCTCGCTGGGACTGGTGAAATCGCTGGAGGTTCTGTAAGTAACATTTCAATTGGATGATTTATCTATCTTTTAGAGGGTTGACATTTCCTGTAACTTCAAGTTTCTTCTTGTGACAGTCGGCTCGACAATAACAATTTGGGAGGTCTAGTTCCATCCAATATCAACAATCTCACGAGCATCAACGAACTGTAAGTGAAGCAGATATCTTCGAAGCCAAAGCTGATTGCTGAAGAACTGATACCACTGTTTCGCTTTCTTACAGGAACTTGGCGAACAATGAGCTAACAGGATCGCTGCCGGATCTGACAGGAATGAACAACCTCAATTACGTGTAAATTACCATTTCTTAGCTCCACTTCTGACCAACGAAGCTTTCTCATCTTATTCCTAGCATGATGTGTGGCAATGTGGTGAAATGGAATGCAGGGATCTGAGCAACAACTCCTTCAGTCCTTCAGAAGCTCCAGGGTGGTTTACAACAATAGAATCGCTCACCGCCTTGTGAGTCTCCTTTGCACGTTCTTGATTTGCTGATGTGCTCTTGTTCAGTAGCAAGTCAACTGACCTAAAACAATGTTGGTTCATTTCCAGAGTCATTGAATCTGGGGGTCTTTTAGGCCAAATTCCAGAGGGGTTGTTCAGCTTGCCTCAATTGCAACAAGTGTGGGTATTCTAACTAGTCCTAGTGAGCATGATTCTTGCATCCACCTTTTATATTATGTATCTGATCACCTTATACATCTAACAGGTTACTAGATAATAATCAATTCAATGGTACACTGAACATGAGCAGCATCGTTGGCTCCCAACTACAGCTCGTAAGTTTCACCAACAACTCCATCACTGGTATCGTGTCAGCATCCAGTTACAGTAACACTCTGATGTGAGTTCATTTCGTCATGCAACCTTTCTTCATGGATTCATCTGCATGACTTACGTCTTCCTTCTGCTGCTTGGAAACGGCAGGCTTTATGGAAATCCGGTGTGCAATTCTTCACCTGTAAACACCGCAGTCTACTGCCTCCTCCAGCAACAGCAGAAAAAGCCATATACAACCAGTTTAGCCACATGCGGTTCTATTTCATGCCCCCAAGACCAGAAGCTTGACCCTCGGAGTTGTTCTTGTGCCCATCCATATGAAGGGTCGATGGTCTTTAGAGCGCCGTACTTCCGAGATCTCACGAATGCCACATTGTTCCAACAACTAGAGAAGAGTCTGTGGACTAATCTGAGCCTCGCTCCAAGTTCAGTATACATATCCGATCTCCACTTCAACAGTGATAATTATCTTGAGTTGAACTTGGCTCTGTTCCCGTCGAATGGAATGTACTTCAACAGATCAGAAGTTCTAAGAATTGGGTTTGATCTAAGCAACCAAACCTATAAACCTCCTACCATATTTGGACCATATTATTTCCTGGCACTCCCATACACCTTCTCAGGTATGGATCCATTTGTTTCAGGGTAAAGTTGAACGGGCTTTCCTGTAGATGACTGAACTGACGAAACTTCCTGATGAACATAGGTGGGACTAGTGGAAAGACAACCATAAGCACAGGCGTTATTGCTGGGATAGCTGCTGGTTGCATTGTTCTTGTAATTGGACTTGTTTGTGTTGGGATCTATGCTTTACTTCAAAAGAAAAAGGCTAATAGAGCTTCGATACAAAGCACACCTTTTGGTATGTTTCCCTGCACGAGATACGTTATCCTTCAAGAAACAGTAAAAGAATTTGAGTTTTTTTTTCTTGTCGTGAACAAGATGATGGTATGCACTACAACCCGTAATCCAACTCTGATGATTTCTGGACTTTGCAGCTACATGGGGATCCGGTGGCAAAGATGATGGCAGCGCACCTCAACTCAAGGGAACGAGATGGTTTCCTTTCGACGAGATCAAGAAGTGCACCAACAATTTCTCAGACGCTAATGAAATCGGCTCCGGAGGTTACGGAAAGGTACATCAGCTTGTAGTAATCTACCAGGATTCACTCCAGACCTACTGAAATGAAGAATGGAGGTGGAAAGAAGAACACATTGAAGCAAAGGAAAAGAAATCTAGCTTGTTGATGAACTTTGTGAATTCTCTATCTTCAGGTCTACAGAGGAATCCTTTCGAGTGGGCAGATGGTTGCAATCAAGAGAGCGCAGCAAGGATCCATGCAAGGAGCACTGGAGTTCAAGACAGAGATTGAGCTGCTTTCTAGGGTTCATCACAAAAATCTAGTTGACCTCGTAGGCTTTTGCTTTGAACAAGGAGAACAGATGCTGGTGTATGAATACATCCCTAATGGAACATTGAGGGAGAACTTGATAGGTCTGTGCAGTGGCCACATCTCATAGGAACCCTTCCTGACCAATAAATCTTTCTATCTCTAACATGCATGCTTTTGTTGTTGTTATGATGTGCAGGGAGAGGTGGGAGACAGTTGGACTGGAAGAAGAGACTCAAAATTGCTCTGGGCTCAGCTAGAGGGTTAGCTTATCTTCATGAATTGGCCAATCCCCCCATAATTCACAGAGATGTCAAGTCCACCAATATCCTTCTGGATGAAAGCCTCGATGCAAAGGTTGCAGATTTTGGCCTCTCAAAACTAGTATCAGACAGTAAAAAAGGACACGTTTCCACCCAAGTCAAGGGAACACTGGTGCGTTTCCATCTCTGAACGACTTCCCATTCTTCCAACAAATCGACTCTCAGATAATGGTGTTCAACGTTGCAGGGTTACCTGGATCCTGAGTATTACATGACTCAACAGCTCTCGGAGAAGAGTGATGCGTACAGCTTTGGTGTAGTCATGCTGGAGCTGATATCTGCAAGGCAACCAATAGAGAAGGGCAAGTACATAGTTCGCGAAGTTAGGATGGCGATCAACGACTACGACGAAGAGTGGTATGGCCTCAAGGAGATGGTGGATCCGGCGATGCGGAACACAGGAAATCTCAAAGGGTTTCGGAGGTTCGTGGAGTTAGCAATGAGATGTGTGGAAGAGTCAGCTGCCAACAGGCCGACGATGAACGAGGCGGTGAAGGAGATCGAGACGATTTTGCAGAGTAATGGATTTAACACACAAGCAAGCTCATCATCCTCGTCCACCACAGACTTTGGCAACTCACACGGCTCTCCTCGTCATCCTTATTCTGATCACACGCAAAGAACCGAGGAAAGCAGCGGCGCTTTCGACTATAGTGGTGGGTATTCAGCAAAAATTTTGCCCAAGTAGTGTGGAGATTTGACATTCTTTATTTTGGTTCCTCGTTCCTTTTCTGTCTCAAGGTCTATACAGATTCAGCAATGCTATATGAAACATCAATCTGCGGAGAATATTTCACTCATTATTTTGTTTTTGATTGATTTTTTCTTGGTTGGGTGTCTGAATTAGATAGGCAGTTCCAAATTAAGGATGTTGGAATTACATTGATAACAACTTTACTAACTCATGCACAGATAAGTATGTTTTCAGTCAGCCAGACAGGAAAAATTAAAGAATTCACTAGAGAGACTCTGTGAGATGAACTTGATCAGCTTGTAATATGTAAGATGCAGGCGGAAGAAAAGAAAATGTCACCTCTGTTTCCATGGTTTATTGCTCCCAAAAGATCGGAGATTGAATCGATCTTATGATCCATTTTCTTTGTTGGCTTGATCAGCTTCTGAGCTCAAGAATTCAGGTGAACTTCCAGGGAGATCTGAGCCATAAATGTGGCCCATCTTCGTTCTCTTTGTCTCCAAGTATCTCTTGTTTTCCTCGGTTATAGGGGACATCACAGGGACTCTGCCAACAACAGCCAGACCGTAACCTTTGAGTCCCATGAACTTTGCAGGGTTGTTCGTCATAAATCTCATTGTGCGCACACCAATGTCTCTCAGAATCTGCTCGGTCCAAGAGAAACATACTTAAGAAACGTAAGGAGAGAACACAGCAAAGAGGAGAAGCTTCACCTGAGCACCTATTCCGTATTCACGAGCATCCACAGCCAACCCGAGTTCCAGATTAGCCTCCACCGTGTCGTGTCCTTGATCCTGCAGATTGTACGCTCGCAGCTTGTGTCCTAGACCGATCCCTCTTCCTTCGTGGCCGCGGAGATAGACAATGACTCCTCTTCCCACCTGCTCTATTAGCCGTAGTGCGAGGTCGAGCTGGTTGCCACAGTCACAGCGAGCAGATCCTAGAATGTCTCCGGTTAGGCACTCGGAGTGCACTCTCACAAGCACATTTTGTCCATCTCCGATATCACCCTGGGAACAAACGTAAGATTACTCGGTGCAGATTGAGCAAGCGATAGCAATGATGGAGTTTGGAATGCTCCGTACCTTCACAACAGCAATGTGCTCGGTTCCATCTAATTTGGACTGGTAACAGTAAGCCTGGAAAAGCCCCCATTTAGTAGGCAACCGGGAGACAGCAATCTTTTCCACCAGTTTCTCTCGCTTTCTTCTATACCTGAGACTTGTAGGAGTTAAGATCAGTTCTAACAAGACAGGCTTAGTATAGCTTCAATGGAGGAATACCTGATCAAATCACTGATTGAGATTACTGGTAAGTCGTACTCCTTGGCCAGCATGCGTAACGTAGGCAGACCTGCCATGGAACCATCCTCTGGATCAATGATGGTGGAGAGAATCGATGCAGGCCGCAATCCGGCAAAAGTCACCAGATCCACTGATGCCTCGGTATGTCCTGCTCTCTTCAGAACACCACCATTTCTATACTTGAGAGGAAACACATGACCAGGCCTTCTGAAGTCTCCTGGCTTGGAATCAGGAGAAGCAAGAGCAAGAATTGTTTCTGCTCTATCAGCAGCTGACACACCACTAGATGTTGTCCTGGCGTCCTAAGACCATTCCAAATGCAGGGTGTCAAATGCTATCAGCATTAGTTTAGTTTCTACTCAGAGCTTACCACTGTTATTGTGGCTGCTGCAGCAGACAGGTCCTTGATCTCGGTGATGGGAGACATCATAGGAATCATGAGTCGCTCCAGGTCCTCTTCCTTCATTCCGACAGATACTATTCCGGAGCCATGCTTCATCATAAAAGCAATTGCCTTGGTGTTAGCTAGAGTTGCTGCCATGATGAGATCTCCTTCGTTCTCGCCATCGTCATCGTCGTCATCTACAGCAATCACAAACTAGAGAATAATGTTTGGGTTAACTGTATGTCCTCTGTTCTTGAACTTGGTATATATTGGTGGTCAATCTGAGATCAAAACTCTATCTTGCAATAAACATGAAAACTGTCCAATACTGATTAGCATAAACTATGGGCTAATGTTCGTCAGAATAGCAGGAGACGATAGCCAATGGAACAGATCATACATACAACATATATATGATATGTGTGATCCTAACCTTTCCTTCTCGCAAAGCATTGATAGCCTGATCAATGGAGCAGAAGCCTTTCGAAGGTTGGTCGGGATCGCCCTCCGCATCGCTGACAAAGAAATCTACTGTTTCCTGAGTTATCTCCGCGTTCAGAGTGCTAAACGCACTTCTTGATCCATCCAATCCTCCAACGACGGATCCATTGTCATTTCCTTTCGGAGAACCTCCATCCAGCCATTCTGCGCCTTCTGTTCCGCTTCCACCGATGGAGCGACATCCTAACCTCGACCAGCCCTTCTTGATTAGTCCATAGCTCAGATTGTGGATACCGATGAAGGTGGGGTGGCAGCTGTGACGAACTCCAAATTGGTAAATACCAGATGGAAAGAAACAACAAGACTTGGGCGTGGTCAACAGAGAGAGGCCTACCTGGAGCTGATGATGGTTTGAGGTGAGAAGGGGAAGCTAAGCAGAAGGCAATCCATTTAGAGAAAGTTCCAAGCTGAAAGATCGATGCTTCTCCGAGTTGCTTATATACAAGTGCTGCGCTCGGCCTCTGTTCGGTAAAATTCCAGTTCATGCATTGACTTATCCGTTCATCTGGATAATGGAAGTATATCCGAGGGATAGAACAATGGCGACCTCATATTCTTGATGGTGTAAGACAAATAACGTAACCACAAATATATGCCAATTGTACATAAGCAAGTTTGAACAACTTGCAAAAAGGACACAAGGAAGATGCGTAAACCAATTAAATGATTCATCTGAGAACTGCAGGAACAAAGTGCATCCGATAATTAATTCTGAAAAGGTTCCCAAGCGGAAGTTGGAGGGATGTGATTGGTTAAAATTAACATTGAGCATGTGTTTAGTTTGGAATAATGTTATGTGATAAATACAAGGATCGTGTACTGATAACTGGTGAAGAGATTAAAGACATACACGTAATCGCTAATTGAGTATGAAAAGGAATAATACATGGTTTCTTGTGGCGGGCTGCCAGCTTCAAGGTGTAAATCCCAAACCAAGCTAAGAGCTGGAAGCCCTGTAGAAGGTCCAATGGTAAAGTTGGCTAAGAAACCTACACCAAGATACCTTACCAGAGGTGCCCTGTAGAGGCACCTCTGAAACCTACACCAAGATATTGTAAAGTTGGCTAAGAGAATCGTCAACTTTCAATATATACACCAAGATATTAACAATTTGACACATATGATAACTAATTGAGATAGGATGACTAACCATGTAATTTAAGGCGGTTTTGATAGCCAGCTACTGTCTATAATTTTGTTTTCAGAACAGTTTGATATTTAATGAAATTATTTTTCTTTTTTTTAAATAATACATGGTTTCTTTTTTAAAAATATAATACATGATTTCAGAGAAAAAGATAGAAAAAAAAATACAAAAGAGAATATGATGAGGGTGAAGGGCGCAGCTAAAATATCACTTTAATCATGTCATATCAACAGAATACTTTCATCTAAAATGAGGTTTGCTCTCATCTAAAATTAAGACTAAACACTCGAAACTCCTTTTGCCAGTAACGACCTCTCATCTCTAAGACTCTTTTTGCCGGTAACGACCACCAACTTAATAATATTAGATAGATCTTGTTAGATATATTCAAGTATAGTTTTTGCAAGAACAAAATAAAATAGGATACGAAAATTTTGGATACCAAGAAACAATTTTATTCAACTAAGTTGTGATTCACAAAACATATCTCTTTTCTTTCCCTCTTATAAATACCAACACAATAATAATAATAATACTAATAAGATTGAATCAATTTATTGATAGCAGATAAGATTTTTTTAATTATATGAAAAAATATCTCTATTTTGTTCAGGAAAATCCTCTAATCTGTTAGAGAAATTCTCCTTCTTAATCTGTATAAATAGGAGAAGGACTAATACAAATTAGCTTCTTTTATAATGTTTATCTCAACTTTTTTTCTAACACGGTATCAGAGTTTTCTCCGCTTCGGTAGAGTTTTGGTGTGTCGGTGTGGAAGCCGGAAGGATTGGTGTTGACTTCCTTCCTCCACTACAGTTCCTCCCCATCCTCCCTTCCAATTGCGGTGTCTGCTTCTCTCACAAGAAAAGCAAGAACCGTAGCTCCCTCGGCCAGCAGCAGCCGACGATAACCTCTCTGCCTTGACGCAACTCGGCGGCCGCTTCCCGGCCAGCAGCACAACCTGAACCGCTGCGAGAATTCTTCACCATCGGGAAGATCTCCTTCCACCCAAGTATACTAGGAAGAACATCTTTAGAAGGACTGCTCCCTATGGATAGAAGACCAGTGATTCCAAACCTCCTCCTTCTTGTCCGGTTGGAAAGGGCGACGCTTGCGGGCTTCCTCTCCCGCCTCTCCGACTCCGTCAGTCGATCTCACCTATTAGTACTCCTACTGTGGCAGCGGTTGCTCTGCCTCACCATCATCAACTGGCCGACAGATCTCTATCGCCCGCGACTCTGTTGTGTCGCACCGCACCGCATCCAGGAACCACCAGCTCTATCCCCAAATCCTTGACCTCGCTGCCAACAACCTCGCTAGGGCTCGACCTGGCATCGCTGAGTGAGCTGCGAGTCTTGGCCAGCTGCTAACTCCGCCCGCTGCTGCAGCCACAGCGCCTCCTATATAGCAGCTGCTGCAGCAGCCACAGCCGCAGCATCACTATAGCTTCCTAGTCTGCTGCAGCTTCCGCAGCAGCCACGGCAGCTGCAACCGTAACAACAGTAGTCGCAGCCGTAGTCCAACCGTAGCATCGTTTTAGCTTCCTCATCTACTACAGCTTCCTCCAACTTCCGCACCAACAACAACAGCCACAGCCGCAACAGCAGCCACAGCCGCAACCGCAACCGCAGCAACAGCAACAGCAGCCGCAGCCATAGCTGCAGCCGCAGCATCGCTGTAGCTTCCTCATCTACTGCAACTTTCGCACTAGCTGCAATTGCAATAGCAGCAGCCGCCACAGCGATCTACTCTTGCTCTTCTCACGAGCCTTCTCTCTTATTTCCTCAAATTCCATTCCTCTCCAAACCCTCCAATTCTCTTCGTTGCTCTTCAGCACAAAAAAATAAAGTATGGGATATCTTCATTATCTTCTTCTGATATTCCAGTTACTATGTCTGCAAGAACTCATAGTACTTCTCCTACAGGACTTATCCCCAACAATGTTGCTATATTGATCCATTTTAAGTTATCAAAGAGTAGCAACTATGCATCTTAGTAGGCTTAATTTTCTAATCTCTTATTTGGATATGAATTGCTAGGCTACGTTGACGGCTCCTTCAGCTATCCGCCAGTCATGGTTAACATCCCCGGTGAACCCAGTCTAGTACTAAATCCTGCTCACAAACTATAGCAACGTCAAGATCATCTCATCCTCCAAGCTATTCAAGCATTAGTTGCTGGATCCGTCACTTCACTAATATCTTCTTGTAGGAGCTTCACTAATATCTTCTTGTAGGACTGTTGTCGAAGCATGGTCTAAACTATAAACAACCTTGGCGAATTATTCACGTACTCACAAGCTCAGTATGCTATCCAAGCTGATAGTGACCAAACAAGAGGGAAGTACTATCACTGATTATCTATAAAATATCAAAGTTATCATCGATGATTTGACTTTGATAGGTCATACCCTATGTGACGAAGAGATCATCATTTATACTCTTAATGGTCTCAGAAACGATTACAATGAGTTAGCAACTGCAATTCGGGCACGCGACATGCCAGTATCCTTTGAAGACCTCTATAACAAGTTGATTGATTATAAAATATATTTGAAGCATGAGGATAGGCTGCTCGGACCAACTATCACAACTCAAGTCAATCATAAGTCCAAGAGGAAGGGCACTCGGTACCCTCCGAACATCTCCAAAGTTTGGCCAATACACATCTTGATCCTTTGGATCCCATGCGAAACCCCCCTTATCCTCCTAATCATACCTTCTTGCAACCTGGCACCTCCAATAATCGTCCGTCTTAGCATCCTGCCCCACCAAGCCAACAAAGATGAGTCGTCTATGTTGAATCTCGGATTTTGATGATGAAGTCAATTATAACTTGTTTGATCTAATCTATATGTTGAGAAAAGTGTGCAAGATTAACTACGATGGCAGTAAGACATAAAGCAGGTGTTGTGCCGGAGTCAAGATCGAGATCTCATTGGGAGTTCGAGAGTTCGACGGAAGTCCGGGCGTTCGTCGAAAGTTCTGCGGGAACCAACCGAGAAGTCTAGGAGCTTGCCATAGAGGCTCATCGGAACTCACCAAGAAGATCATGTAAAGTCTAGGAGCTTGTCGGGAGTCCGTCGGAACATTTCTGAGAGTTCGTCGAATGTTCACTGGAAGTACGCTAGAAGCTTGCCGGAAGAGCAATTGACGCACCAGAACAAGAAGCGCTGTAAATTATGTCTTAATTATCGTAGTTAGAGAGTAAATTAAGTTAGGATTGGGAGGTAATCCCACTAACTTAATTATGGGCCAATTGGGCCCTTGACAGGACTGAATTAGGTTGAATTGAGCACTCAATTCAGCCTCTGAAAATATGGTCGGCGGTGGCACCGTTTAGAAGGCAGTGCCCCTGGTTTTCTGGGCAGTGATACCATCCAGACTGGGCGGTACCACCCCTGTTCGACGGTGGTACCACCCAGAGTCAAATCAGCAGTGGTAGTACCACCCAATAACGATGGTAGTACCGTCAGTACCTCGGATTCCAGATATGTGATACTTTTTTGCTCCAAATTTGAAGCCATATAAAAACCCCACACTTTTTTGTATGAAAGGACACGAAACCTATTGGCATAATCTTGAGTTCTTGAGTCTTAAAGTGTTGTAAAAGTTAGAATTCTCCTCCTTCATCTCTTAGCCTTGTAACCATCTAAGAAAGAGGAGCGAGACTTGTAAGAGTTCATCTCCTAAACCCGAGAAAAGGAGAAAGTGCAGGAAAGAGATGTTCGGTCTTCACCTATTGAAGGAAGGCCTATAGTGGACGCCAGTGACCTCGTCGGAGGAGGAATCCGAAAGTGGATATAGGTCACATTGACCGAACCACTCTAAAACTCGGTTTGTATTTACTTTGAGCAATTTATTTTTACAGCAAACTGCCTCTCCTCCTTACTATGCTTTTACTACACCCACATACGCTTTGAAGTAACCACCTTCTGAGATCGGCTTTAATTTTATGAAAGCTTTCAAGTTCAAATTCTCTCCGAAACGAATTGGATCGAAACCATTTTTATCGGAATCAGTTTTAATCGAAATAAGTCTTTTGAAATCGTGAAAGTTTTTCGCTGCATTAATTCACCCCCCCTCTTAGTGCCACTCCGATGACTAGCCAACCCAACTGGATTGTCGACTCTAGCGCCTCCCATCACATCACCGCTGATCTTCAGAATTTGTCTCTTCACAACACCTATGGCGGCGATGAAGATATCATCATTGGTGACAGTAAAGGACTTCCTATAACTCATATTGGTTCCACAATGCTTACTTCTAATAATACCACATTTATACTCGATGATGTTTTATGCGCCCCTCATATTAAACGCAACCTTATTTTTGTTTTTTAATTTTGCAAA